ACACATGCACAAACTGGACCTATACATGCACTAAGTGGAGAGATGTCAGAGTGGGCTGTCCATGACAGGCGCTCCGAGCGGTTGGGGGGTTCGGTGCCTTGCTCAGGAGCACCTCGGCAGTGCCCAGGAGGTGGACTGGCACCTCTGCCGCTACCAGTCCACGCTCAATATTTTGGGACTTTAACAGGCGACCCTCTGGTTCCCAAACCAAGTCCCTATGGACTGAGCTACTACCGCCCTGATACACCAGTGAGAATAAAGGTAGGGGACAGCCATATGAAAGTAACCAATACTAAAAATATTGTATGTGCTTATTTTGTAACATATATAGTTTTTAAGATATTTAAGGCTTAAACTGTTCTTTAATTGTTTTAATGTAATACAAACCACTGAGTAAACCCATGACAAATACAATTCTGTCCTGTTGAAGAGTAGTTACAGTTACAATTTTCACTTCATATAAACATTGTAAAACTATGTTTATACATTACTGAACAGATTTGCTGAGCATACTCTGGATAAAACAATTGCTTCCTGGATTATGATCAGTGGCTCCACTTTTCCAGTACAGAAAGTGTTATATTCGTGTTTGGGAGGTGGTCAGGCTGGATGGTGGGCATATAAAGCCCAGCACTCTGACACTGGACAAGGCGCTCCTATTCAATGTGCCACATGTGGCTACATTTTGGCTACAAAAACATTCTAGTTCGGCATATATGGTAGTTTTGGCCAAAAAGTAAATATATCTTTTGCCTTGAGTCATTTTGTTTTTATATATTTAACCAAGGCCACAATCTATCTAACCTAAACCAATGCAGAACATTTTAATAAAAGACAATGCATTTTTAATTATGTATTAAATAAAACTTTAAACTTTAAACAAAACATTTAAGATGAATGCAACCTTGCAAATACTTTCATTAAAAAGGTTTGCTCCCTCATTTCATGAATTTTGAGGGGCAGGATGTTGCCTTCAAAACAAATTTGTTCAAAAAAGTATATAAATTGAATTTGTAGAAGAAGGGGTAGTGACAAGGACACATCCCACTGAAGTGTGTGTATGGTGCTTGTTATTTAGGCTTAAACATTCAAAAACAGACACCATCATACACTGATTATACATTCTGCTGTGCTATATCTCATTTTTGCATACACATATCTATGTATCTATGTATGTATGTACACATATCTATGGATGTAACACAGCAGAATAATATCCGTCAGTCTTTCTGAGTTTAGCGAGCTGTTTTTCAACTTGTAATATGAACTTTGAAGTTTATAAATGATTACAATCAGAGATAGTCTTGATACAGTAGACCACTCTATTCTTTTAGACAGACTTCACAATCTGATTGGCATCTCTGGTACTGTTTTTAACTGGTTTAAATCTTGTCTTACCAATAGAGAATATTGTAGGTCTGACACATTTTAATCTCTACATGCTGGCACTTGGAAATGTCATCAGGAGGCATGGCATAAACTTCCATAGTTATGCTGATGATGCACAGCTGTACAATGCTTTTAACTGCATTTTTGACAGGTAAAACAGAACAAAAATGAGGTCTTAGTTATTGGTCCTAAAGCTCAGAGAGACAAGCTGAATGCAAAACTGCAAACACTAGCACTAAAACCCTACTAAAAACCTCTGAGTTATCTTTGATTTGATGTTTTGAACCACATATTAGAAACATAACTAAAACATAATTTTATTATCATAAGAACATGGCCAGAGTACGGACATTTCTCTCTCTCCAGCCAGCAGAGAGACGCTACTACATGCATGTATTACTTGCAAAATCAATTTTTGTAATGCTCTACTTTCTGGTCTTCCTGAGAAAAATAAATCTCAATAACAATTACTACAAAAGTCAGCTACAGGTGTGGTGACAAGGATCAGAAACAGAGCACATGTTACATCAATAAAGTCTCTGCATTGACTCACTGTGTGTTTCAGAATTGATTTTAAGATCCTTTAATTGGTTTTTAAAGCTCGTAATGGTCTTGGTCCTAGCTATCTATCAGATTTGCCTTTAACAGTCCCAAAAGTAAGACCAAAAACTAATGGTGAGGCATCTTTTTATTACTATGGTTCATGTCTGTACAACAGCCTGTCTGAAGAGCTGAGGGCAGCAGAGAGTGTTGATATTTTCAAAAGCAAACTCAAGACCTACCTCTTTTAGTCTGGCTTTTAACCTAATCTATTTATTAATTATTTATGATTTATTTTATATATACAGTACAGGCCAAAAGTTTGGACACACCTTCTCATTCAATGCGTTTTCTTTATTTTCATGACTATTTACATTGTAGATTCTCACTGAAGGCATCAAAACTATCAATGAACACATGTGGAGTTATGTACTTAACAAAAAAAGGTGAAATAACTGAAAACATGTTTTATATTCTAGTTTCTTCAAAATAGCCACCCTTTGCTCTGATTACTGCTTTGCACACTCTTGGCATTCTCTCCATGAGCTTCAAGAGGTAGTCACCTGAAATGGTTT